GGGAAACTACTTATTTTTAACTTGCGCACCAATTACGGTGCGCTCCCGGACTTTGTCTATGGAGGTACGCAGGTCTGTGGTGGGAAAATCTATCAACCGAACGCGTCCCCGTACACACAGCACTGTACGCAGGGCTATACAGTACCCCCCTAGATGACAGTCTTGTTACATTCCCTCGTGATCGCCAGAAACGGTTGTTTTAACACGAATACTATGTTTTGTTTTTTATCCAATTTGCTCAAAAACGAATTATTTTTAAGATACTCATAATATATTATGATAATCTAGGCTAAAAACGCATTTTTTTTAATCCCACTATTCCGTTGTGTTTACATTCCAAAACGAAGCCGCGTTGCTGCATTTGCCTCATTGTGATGGTGTCATGAAATCTGTTCCATGTTACAATACATGAAAGACAGACAGACAGACAGACAGAATGTATTGGATTAACAATAAATATGAACGCTAAATAACTCCTCACCTGTTCATGGTTATCTGCTTGCATATGTCAACGTCTAATCGGTAATAAATATAGGAGAAACCACAAATCGTCTAGACTAGCGAATATCTCAAAATGGCGATAGCCTTGTCTTTGTATCCCATAATGCAAAGTTTGATGACGTAAACGACGAAAAGAATAATTCATTAAAATGCTCATGTGAAAGAATGAATATTTAGTAACACGTTGAACGAAACGTGAAATATGCCGGAACTGTTCTTTTTTATCCAAAGCAAGTATTTTAAAAACGTGAAAAAATACAAACAACGCACAATGTGACATTTGACCTTTCTTGGTCACCTGACACCTACACGTGTCTCCTCTGGAAGGTCATACACATGAGAACGATGTTCAGCGTGCATCTAAGTTTGTCTCTGAACCAAGCGAATCCAGTACTCTGAGCTGGACAACGAATTCTTTTTCTATAAAATTGATGAAATCAATGTCCATGGATATATATATATGCGTATATCAAATTTAAATTTGTAGTTGCCATAACAGCAAGTTATGCAAATGCGTTAATATAGGTCTATGTTCATCACCAACTAAGATGACATCGAGTGAAAAAGAGTCAGTAACTGGTAGAGATGAGATACAACTAGATTGTGATAATGGTGGCATTGAATCAGTCAAGAGGATATTTCGTAGGAAGTAAGTCAAATTGGGGAAAGACTTTCAAATATACCCGCACCTCTTACCCAAATAATACCCCCCCCCCCCATTAGTTGTATATGCCCCTCTGGATAACTATAGAGACATATACTATTAATTTGAAGGGAAATAAAGTGTAGGGGTCATGTTAGAGTTAGGAATAGAGATGGGGGTACATTAGATAGTCTTTCTGTTTATTAATTTCTAAAGTCAAACTGAAATGAGAAGTTTCTAGTGTATAACATTGAATAGTTTTCAACTGACATTGTTGCTCGTCGATGTGCATTGATTTAACTGCCATTGAATTTCTTGGATATTCACTAAAAAACACATGAAAATTAGTATATTTATTTCCACAAATATGACATGTTCTTGACATAACAAACTCATTCTTTATATATTAAATGAATGAAATATGACAAATCATGTGTGATATCATTTTGTACTTTTAAATTGCACCTCACATACCTCATAGAATTGTTATGTATATATATTTGCTACCCTGGAAAAAACATACCAAAAGAATCCTACTCTTTTCCAGGTACAAACATCCAAAAATGGATAACCATTTGTTAAAATTCTATATCCTTGCTAAGACAATTATAATATAGGTGTTTTATTGTCAGAATTAATGAATTATATGGCTTGACATGAAAAAAACAAAATTACAATAGATTTAAGAAAATTTTTTCAGACTTTTGCAGTCTACATGACTACATTACAGCTCATATATGCTTTCTTAATGTTACAATTCAGATCATAATTCATTGCTTTCATTTACCAATGTTTTCAGAGAAGATGGTCGATTATCTGATGAAATGGATGATGTATTAAGATTTAGTCTTGGCGCATTTGCACTTGGATTTGTGTACGGTGGATTGCCAGCTTCAAGTCTACTGCGGAGAAGATACATAGAAAAAAGCCAAGGAGAAGTTTATTCACACCGTGTTGATGCTGCGGTTAGTATATGAGAGGGGAAGTTTGACTTGGCCATTTTAGTCCCAACAAAACACTAAATATAAACATATTAATACATATACTATATATCATCAATCATATTTGAGTCGTACCTGGGCCAATTTCATTCAAACTATGGTATAGATATTGATGAACGTCAACCTTTTTCACGATCTGATTCATAATAGTTATTTTCTTTATTGCATTCGTATCCCTATTAGGATTTTGACTAAAATGCAATACAGATGTGAATAAAGACAAACAAACAATTAAAGTGAGAATAAAAATACACACAGGAAAATAAAAATAAATAAATAAAAAACAACTAGCAAATAAAAGTAGAGAAAAAAAAAATAATGGTAAAGTAAATTGGATTGTTTTTCACATTTGTGTTGGTGAATGTTTGGATTACTATTGCATGTACATGACCTTATCTTGAGATAGCTGACTATAATGTTTTCAGTTTTTCCTCTCTCGTTTTGAAACCGTATGTATTTTGGCTATTTGTATTATTGTTTTCTCATCTTTATTATTTAAAATATATTTTAATTTTTCTTTATTGTTTGCTAAGTGTTGGGGTGATAACAGCTGATAAAGTTTTTTTCTTTCTCCCGCATAGAGATCACATGTTAAAAGAAAATGTTCTTCGTCCTCTATGGCGTTATTTTCACAACATATACATTTTCTGTCAGATATATTCAAATCGGCAATTGATGTACTGGTCTGTTAGGTTTACTTTTACAGATATAATGAGTTGCATGTTTGTTTCAGTTATTTGTGGTGGTCACTATGGGCAGGTACATGGTCTTTATATACTTTGAATATAAACTGCATTGGGACTGCACAAAGTCACTAAGAGCAGATGGTCTTTATATAAAGACGATCACTAACAGAATATCATTTTTACACCAACAAAAGATAATAATAAATATTTTTTCAAATGGGTTCTTGTGATTGGACGAGATCACTAATATCTGAACAACCATTTTTTAAATTAATGCAAGCTTATTTTTTTACATAGGATATTATTGACTAAAACTGACATGTATTGTTTATTTCAGCGTCAGTCACAGCATGCCGGTGTCAGAGGATTGATACGATATGGCTGGAGATGGGGATGGAGGGTTGCTGCTTTGGCAGGAATGTTTCAGTAAGTAGCAGGTTATTTCATACTCGATTTTATTGTGTGTCCTACCTGTTTTACAATGGCAAGACATGGTGATGGTATCTATGTAGCTTTCTCTCTGCTAATATTTGAATGCACTGAATTCGCAACCAGTTCTACCCATGAAGACTGGGCAAAGACATTTATATCTTGTTGCTTTCAAAGTGAATCAATTTGGCACAGCCTGGCCATGGTCCTAGTTCATGATTTTTTTTTTTTAAATATAATTTAATTTATGTTATTTTCGTATACCAGTATTTTATTTAAATCAAATTTATTTGCTGGTATTTTTTTTAAGTTTGGATATTTGTGAAAGCCGAATTCCAGAAAATAAAATCAAATGAAAAAAAAGCCCAAACTAGGATCTTATTTTGATCAGATTAGATTAAGTAGAACTTAGAATTTTAGACCTCAATAAATTGAAGTGTACTGAATTTTTAGAAACAAAAAAACAAACATGCAGTTGAAATTGATCAATAGATATTACCATGGTAATTGGTATTTATTTGAATACTTGTTTGCAGAGGAGGCAGTCTTATCATCGCTCTATATCGTAACAAAGTAGATGTGTTAAATTACATAGCTGCAGCAGGTTAGTATATTCAATGTTTTCCTGTCAGTCCTCTCTACCCTCTAACTATTGATAGAAGTCTGAGTGGATCAATTGGGTCAAATACAATCACTCATGACCATATCTGGATCTTTAAAGGTTGATTTAACTGCTTCCTAGTAGTGAACATCAGCATTGCTGGGCAATATACAAGCCTGGTTCAGCACTAACTTCATCACCAGTGCTAGAAGATGCCTTGCTCTGCAGGCTACCGAACTATGAACAAGACAAACTGAGCTTACAACGATAGGAACCTTAAGCATTTTTTTTTCGCTTCCATTGAGACTATGACAGATCCAGCTCTGATGAAGATGTATCGCCACTGACCTGGGACCTGCTTAAACAAAAACACACAATAACAAGAATTTCCTGGGACTCAAAATGTGTGGCCATTATTATTTATTTCCTGTGGGACTTGTAATTAAGTCTCAGTCATTCTGTTTAGTCACATTTCAGAACTCTCAGGACCAAACATTTTATTGTGATCAGATCAAAGACAACAGACTTGCAGCCATCTTGCTTTTTGATATTACTTCATTGTAGGCATAAATAACATTCTCTCTAATTGCAACAGGGACTGTGTCATTAACAATGACTTGTTTTTACCCATATGTTGGATACTCTAGCTTGCATGGACTTTGTTCCAGTCAATACAATGATAAACAAAATTAAAGTTTATGCTTCATATCGGTAGGTTGCTGATGCTATCAATCGGTATTTATTTTTCAGGAATATCTGGTAGTTTATACAAAACCGCATTGGGACCACGAGGAATGGTAGCAGGTGGTATTCTTGGAGCAGTCTTAGGGTAAGAAACTTGTTAATTACATCATTGTTGTGTATTTTTACACACATCATTTAAAGTGTTGGAAACATTCTACATTTTCTTTTTGTCCACAATGCTTTATTTCTGATGGTAATAGCTGAATTTACAAACAACATAATCATATTCTTATAATTATCTCGTTACCATGGTTTTTGTGTAGAAATTGTCATCTTTTGATAGGATAATTTTATGTATTTATATAAGTGGTTGACGTAAAAATAAAATATAAAAAAAAAAAGATGGCAGCCAAAAAAAAAAAAAAAAAATACAAACATGACAATTTGTCGTGGTACTTTCCTATCATTGTTTGTTTCAAGCTTACCAACTGGCTACCAATTTAGATGTTTAAATTCACCAAATCATTTCTACCATGCCAGGAGCAGAAATCTCTGGTATGTGTGGATAGATTTTGTTCAAACTTAGAAAATACAAAATGAAAACTGATAGAAACTGTGTGTATTTTTTTTCTTATACCGTTCAATTCATTTTCAGAGTACCGGTTGGGTTCTCTTTGGTTTCTCTGCAAAAACTAGCAGGTGAAGATGTTCTGGAAAAATTTCGAAGAATGAAACGAGACGTAATCTTGAATGATGCAAAAGAATTGTATGTATTTATTTTACTTCAAAATTAAGTAATAACTATTGACTTGTGTTGACATATCAGTCACGTTTGTATATATGACTTTTATTGTTTAACTGTCATGACTAGAATGGTATGGTTCATTAAATATGAAGGGAGTATTAATTGTCATGTAGTAACACAATGTACTGGTAATGTAAAATTGAATTCCAAGTTTTTATATTCAAATACTATTAACACTGTATTTTCAAGTTTTGCAGATACATTTATTAAATTAATTTGATATGACTGCCTGAGCAAATCTGTCGGCGACAGCATTGTAACACAACACTGACCATGTTGGGGGATACCAGGGTAATTCTAAATGAGTAGTTTAACTGACATTTCTTTTTTGGTCTCGTAGGAGAACAGCTGGAGAATTCTTAGATATTGCTTTGAATATGGCAGAAAAAGAGATGAAAGAATCTAATGAGGCTCTTGCTATGTCATCACCTCCTAAACCACAGTTACCATCACAGGAAAGCTGATACGGGATGAAGAATTTATATTTATTTTGACTTTATCAATACTGTAGAAATTATTAATTCTGGCAACACATCAATGGTATTGAATTGCACAACAATTTTAATTTGAAGCATTTTTTTCTTGTGGATTTGATGATTGAAATGTATTTTTTGTACATTATTTTTCTTTAAGAAGACTACTTCCCTATGTACCTATTAGCAAATTAGACACCAATTCTATTCCATTTTATTACAGTACCATAGGTAAAACATGTATTCCCTAGCTCTGCTCAAGTTTGTTATTTGAATCTTATGGTGCATGGTAGAATTGAGTTTGGCAGTGCTTATGCTGTGTTTTAATGATGGATAGTTTGCCTAAATTATGACCATAACATTTTTGTGTATTATTATTTTTAATTTTAAAATAGGGTTCAGTTGTAGTTAATAAGAATGCCATTGTGACTTCCCCTGTATATGAAAAAGTAAATGGGACTGAAAAGATTAAGGTTAAATCTTAAATCTCGATTTTTTTCAATTGAATTCTTGATTTTATTTAATTCTTGCATTAATACACTTATGTGACAATTTTTAGGTCCATAAATCACTTGTATAAACTTCTTTGAGGAAATGTTTAAATTCTGTGTTGAAAGAAAACAATATACATGATTTGTTATTATTTGACCGATAACACCTGAGCAGAGTGAAATCACTACTGGTACCGGTACTTAATGTATTCACCAATGGTGACTGCAGTGAGTGTAAAGTAATAATATTACATGTTTTTTCTTGATAAGCACTACTGTTGCCATACGCCAACCAGGCATGGCATGTTTGGACTGGGGTTTAGTATACACTTACAGCTTTGGTTTCAAAGAAAAATACATCTACCCCGTTCTCCCCATCACATAGTATATCCAGACGTTGCAGGCGAGTTCATTTTTTTTTGCGTCCTTGATTCTAGTTTTACTGCTTCACATCACCGTCCCTTGAGGGACGGTGTTCACATGTAGTATTTTGGAGTAGATGTTCTAAATTTGTTTAAAATGTACTTGAAACTTGAATTTATCGGCGATACACTGTACCACTCCTATAAGAATATAACCACTTTACTTGTCGCCTCAGTTTTCACTGATCTTGAAATATTAGAAGCTTACCAAGGGGTAGCCCTGCGTACAGTGCTGTGTGTACGGGGACTCGTTCGGTTGATAGATGTCCCCACCACAGCCCTGCGTACCTCCATAGACAAAGTCCGGGACTTTGAAAAATATAAATTTTTTAATGAAATAACATGCCCAGGTACCAAAAATGATGATTGATCACCAGATATATTCAGAAGTCGGAGTCCAATTGTGGATGAAATTCGGCTACTTTGCCCTAAAAACAAACACATTCTTTTGCATTAATGAAATTAAAAATGGCGGCGTTTGAGTACATTTTGTCCGTCTTTACTAGTTGCTTTTTAAAGACATTTCAGTTTCAGATAACTTTGTAATGGTTGTTACGGATAACTATCGTCATTTCAACCGATTTCGGCTGGGAAACTACTTATTTTTAACTTGCGCACCAATTACGGTGCGCTCCCGGACTTTGTCTATGGGAGGTACGTAGGGCTGTGGTGGGGACATCTATCAAACGAACGCGTCCCCGTACACACAGCACTGTACGCAGGGCTAACCAAGGGGCATCCAAGGGTCTATAAATTATGTTTCATAATTGGCAATTTTTTTGACATTTTCAATGGTCAAGAGGTTCCTTTTTGAATTTTTTTTAGTAATCAAAGGGGTAGTATTTTTGTGTGATGTGTGGGCATTTGTAGGTCAATTTTACCATGATTTTGAACTAGTGTATATGTGTTTGTGTTCAGTTCAGTTGAGCATAAATTATGTATTCACTACATGATTTTATGTCAAATATATACGATACTCAGGATTTTTTCGTAAATTTGTTTTAGGGGGGTAGGTTTTTGAAGAATTTGGTCGCCAGGACCGTGATTTTCACTAAAAGTTAGTGCCTTGCATACTTGTATATAATTAATTTCTACGATTGGGTTTTGGTTTGCACTGAATCTGCATAAAATGAGTTCCAACACTGGATTTTATGTAAACAGAAACATTGTTGCACTATTGTAAGCATCGCACAGTGCTTATCAAGGAAACCATCACAATATTATTTGACACTCTGTGTAACGACCATTGATGACTATGCAAAGTAGTTGTTTTGATTCTCTCGGGTGTTGCCGATAGTACTGTCAAATACTTTATTAGTCCCTGTTCGGACGTAGTCCGAAAACGGGGACTTATGTTTTGCCCTGTGTACGTCTGTGCGTCCGTTCGTGCGTGCGTCCGTGATCACCTGCATCTCGAACATGCATGGACCGATTAAGTTCAAACTTCACTCATACATCACACATTATATGGGACATATGCACATGCATTTTTTTTATGATCCGATTAACGATAGCCGAATAGCGGCCATTTTAAGGCCAAAAATGCATCAACATCGCACATTTTCACCATTCCCGGACCCGGATCTCAGTTATGCATGGACGGATTTGGTACATACATTAAACATAATAGGACCTTGATGCACGTCATTTTTTTTTTGGATCGGATTTGAAATGGCCGACTGGCGGCCATTTTGTTTTAAAGAATTCAGTTCTGGATTCGTATCTGAGACATGCCTGGATTGATCGAGTTCAAACTTCACACACACAAGGTACATCATGTCACAAATATGTATGTGCATTTGTTTCATGATCTCATTAATGATAGCCAAATGGCGGCCGATTTAAGGCCGGAAATGCATTGAAATCGCACATTTTCACCATTCCAGACCCGGATCTCAGTTATGCATGGACGGATTTTGTTCAAATTTGGTACATACATTAAACATAATAGGACCTTGATGCACGTCATTTTTTTTTTTTGGATCGGGTTTAAAATTGCCGACTGGTGGCCATTTTGTTTTAAAGAATTCAGTTCTAGATCCGTATCTGAGACATGTCTGGATTGATCAAGTTCAAACTTCACACACACAAGGTACATCATGTCACAAATATGTATGTGCATGTGTTTCATGATCCGCTTAACAATAGCTGAATGATGGCCATTTTAAGGCCGAAAATGCATCAAAATCACGTATTTTCACAATACAAAACACCCAAAAAGTCTTTTCAGCAAAAATTAATTCCAGGTAAAATAAATTATTGTAAATATGTGATTGACAAAAGTAGACATTGTTTCTGTGAGTTTAGTCTATGTGCTGGATACAAATTGATGCTACATTAAAATCTAAAAAAAAATTTATTATGAATCAGTTTCAGGAAAGGCAATTTTTGGTTTTCAGCGCTTCTATTAGAGATGCGGTAATTGGTTTTTGCACAGTCCCCCTATCACCAGTGTGGCAACAACTATTGTTTTAGGTGTGAAACAGCTTGTTGTCTAATGTTTGATATTCTGCAAATCATAGCTAAACAATAAACGTATTGTCATTTGTCTGTTTCATAAACATTCTAAAAATAGTTTTAGCAATTGTAAAGTGTAATTCTAGTACTTTTTATTAAGAGTTTATGAATCTTATTTTAGCAATAATTTGGGCATTTTTTTTTCAAGCGTAGATGATAACATTTTTTGTGATGATTGAGAAAACATTTTATCTCCCTTTTATTCCCATCACATTCAATTCATTAATTTACTACCCAGATGGACAGTTTAACAATGTTCAGAGTTGGTAGGATGGCTTTTTTGTTCAAACCAACATGGATACACTCCTGTATGCCATACCAGGCAGACAGTTCAACAATTCTTTAGAGCTGGCAGGTTCTTTTATTTTTCTTTGTTGTATTTTTCTTGTAAAATAGTCATTTAACATCAAGGCTATTTTTGTTTAAAACCAACATGGCCGACTTCATTATCCCATAGAGCTTCTTTCTGGCCGGACTACAAAATCAATTCTGATGTCATGTAATTTTAACAATGTTAGAATATATAGAAGATGTTCATCATAGTGTTACATGTTCAGCTACAGCTGTATAACTATTCTCAAACTGAAAGTGTGGCCAGTGTGTTGCCATTTTTCCCTATAACAAGCAGCCTATCGGCTGAGATAGCTCCGCTGTTAGCAATGCACATTTCAATCAAAGAACTGAAGATATCATTAGAAAATGAACAATATGTATAGTATCACAGCAATCGTACTTGCGGTTTTTAACAAGACGTCGAAAATATCACTTTTTACCAAAAATGACAAAAATATTCACCAAAATGAGAGAATTGAAGATATCACAAAATGAACAAATCTGAGAGAGGTCCACATGTAGTACTTATATATATAATAGCAAAGCAATCGAACTTGCAGTTTTTAACAAGAAGTCGAAAATATCACTTTTTACCAAAAATGACAAAAATATTCACCAAAATGAGAGAATTGAAGATATCACGAAATGAACAAATCTGAGAAAGGTCCACATGTAATATCTATATATGTAATATCAAAGCAATTGGATTTGCGTTTTTTAACAAGAAGTCGAAAATATCACTTTTTAGCTCCGCTGTCATCGCAGATGACCCAGCGGAGCTGTTGGTATGGGGGTCTCTCCAGCGTCTCGCATGAAGTTTTCCTTTAAACGACTTCTTCTTCAAAAGTACTTGACCAATTACATTCATATTTGTACCAAAGGTACTTGGGGAGGTCCTCTGTCAGATTTGTCAAATTCTTCAAAATATGCAAATTCGGATTTTTAGTGAATATTTTTGTCATTTTTAGTAAAAATTTTTATTTTCGACAACTAGTTCTAAACCGTAAGTCCAATTGCTTTCATATTTGCAGCAACGATACGTGGGGTGGTCCTCTGTCAAATTTGTTAAATTCGTCCCAAAATAAACAAATTTGGATTTTTAGTAAATATTTTTGTCATTTTTGGTAAAAAATGTTATTTTCGACAACTAGTCCAAAACTGTAAGTCCAAATGCTTTGATATTTGCAGCAATGGTACTCGAGGTGGTCCTCTGTCAGATTTGTTAAATTTGTGTCAAAATATGCAAATTTTGATTTTTAGTGAATATTTTTGTCATTTTTAGTAAAAAATTTTATTTTCAACAACTAGTCCGAAACCGTGAGTCCAAATGCTTTCATATTTGCAGCAAGGATACGTAGGGTGGTCCTCTGTCAGATTTGTTGAATTCGTCTAAAAATATGCAAATTTGGATTTTTAGTGAATATTTTTGTCATTTTTGGTAAAAAATGTTATTTTCGACAATGAGTTCGAAACCGCAAGTCCAAATGCTTTCATATTTCCAGCAATGATACGTGGGGTGGTCCTCTGTCAGATTTGTTAAATTCGTCTCAAAATATGCAAATATAACTGACTATGAATATTACAACCACAATGCCACTTTACTGATTCTTGTTCCATGATAATGAAGACAGCGGAGCTTCTTCGACCGTTAGGTCGCGTGTTACCAAAAATCACAGAAATATATTCATCAAAATTAGCGAATTAAAAATATCATCACAAAATGAATAAATTCGAGAGAGTACCTTGTGTAGTACCTATATATGCAATATCAAAGCAATCAGACTTGTGTTTTTTAACAAGAAGTCGAAAATATCACTTTTTACCAAAAATGACAAAAATATTCACAAAAAATAGAGAATTTGAGCTTTTGACATGAAATAAACAAATCTGAGAAAGAACCATTCAAGGTACTTGCATTTCAAATTTGAAAACATTCTGACTTGCGGTTTGGAAGAAGAAGTTGAAATTGTAAAGTTGACGACGATGGACAATCAGTAATATGAACAGCTTCTCTGTGTCGACAGTGGAGCTAAAAAAATTTGAAAATGCAATTTGTTTACATTTACATTTTTGTATTGAAGCCCTACATCTTCCACATCACTGTAATCTTCTGAGTGACACCTACAACTAAGCAAGTGCAAATCTGCATAATAGTCTGTATCACAGTCCTTCTATGACAGAGGGACTGTGTCTGTATGCTGGGACTTTATACAGATGATCACTGCTTATCATAGGTGTGAATTGTATGTTTACCCATAAGTTGATAAACAAAAGAGAGCCTGTTGTTGCTAGACTGGTGATAGAGGGACTGTGGTTCTTGAGATATCTGTGGAACAGCTAACAATTGGCTAATTTATGCAAACCAGCTAATGTAAATTTAGTAATTAATATTCACAGTAGTTATCCCTAAACTAAATACGCCTACCCCAGAGTATATATGGCTAATTTATGCAAAACAGGTGATTAGTTGCACAGATTTCAATGTATGTGGTTTTCCAGCAAGCGAACCCAAAACATCTACATACCAAACTTGAAATCCAATCAGTGGAATATACACACAGATAGGATAACTGCAAAGACTCTCAATGAGTGCCTTCACACACAGGATTTGAAAAGCTTGCATCTAAAATGCATTTTTTTTTTATTCCAAGCCCAGTAAACACTAAGATATGGTTACAGGCATGATAAAATATTAAAAGAGAAATTTGAAGACTTTGATCAGATTTAATATAAAAATATGTGCACCTGTCATGAATTAAAGTGTAAAGATAATAACACATCACACCAATATATACATAATGTTATCATTCTTTATTTTATGTACCAGTAAGTTACTAACATTTTCCCTTAGTTATTCTCCGTGGTCCCCTCCCACCTGGTCCTTTGGGCTTGGCAAATTTTGGTTTAACAATCATCACTTTAGGGTGCAATTCTTCATAGATAAATTCCTCTGTTAAATCACTGGGATCATCAACCTCTATCTGTAATATAACACTATAGTTGATCAGACGAAGAGAACAAGTATTTATACTGGTAACATCCCATGCACTGAAAGATGACTGGCACATTAAAGACACTGAGGCAGCCACTATGATGAATACATGCAATACTACACTGCCATAGCTGTTGTACTGAAAATACATTGAACATTTTTTACTGTAATACACACCTACCTTTTTAACAATTTTGGTACCAAGTCTTTGTTCAATAACTTCAGCAACAGAGCTTTTACAACTTGAATACAACATTCTTTCTTTTATTGGACAAGAATATCCTGGCATTGTATAAATGAATACTGTGGAGTGAAATGTAGAACCTCATAAAAACAAAAGAATCAACTTCACAGAATGTAGTGCAAAGTGTGAACAAGAATAGCCCGGCATTGTATAAATGAACACTGTGGAGAGAGATGTAGAACCTCATAAAAACAAAAGAATCAACTTCACGGAATATTAGGGTAACGTGTTTACAAGAATATCCTGGCATTGTATAAATTAACACTGGAGAGAATTCTCAGGACCTTATAAAAACAAAAGAATCAACTTCACAGAATGTAGCGGAAAGTGTGAACATGAATATCCTGGCATTGTATAAATGAACACTGGAGAGAATTCTCAAGAACTTATAAAAACAAAAGAATCAACTTCACAGAACATGAGTAGTCTTGCATTTCATAACTGAACACTGTGAAAAGAAATTTCTCAAAAACTTACACACCCACCGCTGATAGGAAGCTTCTAGTGGGTTGTGTGTTAAAAGAAAGTTCCTTCAATGGAAAAGTTGCACATATCATAAATTTTCTACATACCTACTGACTCCATATAGTCACCTTCATGTGTGTGTTTAAATAATAACACATGATATCTAGCATTTGTACTGGGTGTAAGTTGTGGTAAATCTGTGATATTAATAGTTTTACCAAGCTCTAATTGAATACATTCTTGCTGCATGTGTATACTCTGAAAACAAACAAAAAAGATTCTAAGCAAATTTATTGAAACAAAATTAAGCAATATGTATTCAATATGTATCCAAATATATATATAATAATAATAATATGAGGTTATTACGAGGATACTATAAAGTATGCACTCAGAAAGTACAGCGAGAGTATCGACCGATGCGCAGGGGAGGTTGATGCAACCGCATACTGCCTAGCTGAGTGCATACTTTGCAGTATCCTCAAAATAACCTTATTATTATACATTGTTTCCTCCCAAGAATACATCATGGATATGACAAAATCAAAATGTTTAGAACAGATTTAGCAAACTTCTTTGTGTGGGGTCCGGTCAAACCCTAGGGGCAGCTGTGTTTGTTTTTTATTATTAGAGGGCTTTTACACGCATAATCGTTCCATATTTTGAATTTGTGTTTCCTAATATGGTAGGATGAAAATACCCATTGCAATACCGCAAAATTACGGCACGCTGTAACTTACAGTGACAGTTGTATAATAATAACTAATATTATGCTAAAGAATAGCATTTAATGGTATTGGTATATAGAAACAATGCAATTACAGTGTATAAACCAGACATGCATGCCACAATACCATACCTCAAGTTTAGAAAAGATGTAACAAGACTACCATTACACTTTGTTTGCCATTTAGTACTACTAACTATATACAGTATCTGTCAACAAGGGTAAGCTTTCTATAGTGACACTATGTTTTACTTAGTTATCTCTGCACCAGACACCCCAGGCAGTAGCTTAATCTCTAATTGGACATACCAGCTGTAAATAGTTAATTTGTCCATTTCTAAACTCCATTAAACTATTCAATGCACCATCTGAAAATGGAAAAGAGACGCCCTGCACTGTCTGACTCTCTGAGTTGAGTGAAATATCACCATCTGCTTCTGCTTTATCGAGCTCCTCTTTGGAATGTGGTCTGATTGTTTGTGACTTTGAACATTCCAAAAAATATCTATAGCAGACATTATCCTGCAAAGAAAAAAATAAAGAATTACTGTAACACAGTCACACTGCTTGTTCTAATGTCCTTAATAATATACATCATGTAAAACAAAGTATAATTGTCTAAATTCATTAAGCATTCATCAAAACTATTTCTGTACATCAAATTAGTAAGCCATTACCAACATTGGTGATGCAGACAAAATAAACCCGTTTACACACAACTGAGATCTAGTTATGAAATGGCAGAAATACTTGATTTTAATGTATTTATCAGCCAATTTAAGCCATGTCAAAGATTTAGTTCTGAAACTGTATTTGTTGGAATAAAATGGCCACCAATCAGCTGTTCTGAATCTAATCTGATAAACAAAATGATGTGCATCAAGTTCCCATATGATGACCAATATTTCTAATGGAATCTGCCATGTATAACCTAGATCTGCTTGCAAATAACTGAATTAATGCTTGCTTTCCATACATTTTTAGCAGTACAATGACCACAAGGCAGCCATCTTGAAATAGATTGTGAAAAAAGGTATATTGTTGGATTTTATTTTCACTGAATCACTCCAGTGAAAATAGTGAAAATAAAATATTTTATACTAATGTGTAATATGTATGTAATGTTTGCATGTGAATGCTCTTGGCAGATATACATAAAATGGTTGCCAGTCGGCCATTTTGAATATTAACACTAAACTGGCCGCCATTCAGCCATCTTGAATGGGATTGTAAAACAACGGACATGCATGTTTCCTGATATGTATGATATTTTGCATATCTGAAGTGTCAATGTAATCAGTACAGGCACGTCTGAGATGTGCATGTACACACAAAGGTGAACCTATCAGTCCTCATTTTTTGACTTTGTCCAAACAGAGACTAAAAATGAATTCAGAACTTACTGGCGCTGTTCCAAATATATCTTCTTTGATATGAGCACCACCAAACTGTAGTTTTAAAGTGGTTTTGGTACTGGAGTACAACATCTTCTCTCTCACCTACATAAAGTAATACCTATTTTATTAAATATATCATATCATATATAAATAAAAAAAAACGTGATATGAAACATTAGCACTTGAATATTGAAAAAAACTTACCGGTGCATCGTCTGGCACATAAAGAATAAATATCCACTCATATCCAGATACATTAGTCGTATCAAGTCGATATAATATATAACATGCTTGATTGCTTTTCAACAATGGCAAAATAGCATTATCATAATCTAGGTGAAAAGTTAGGGGAAATCCTGTCCTGTGTGGATATTCACATTTCACAACATTTTTAAGACATTAACATCACCTAAAAGGATACCTTCTTCCCATGATTCAACAGGTTCGGCAGTAGATGACAGTACTAGTTGTTCTATAAGGCAAACAAGATAAACATTACTGATTGGACCACTGAGGGAAATACCATATTTGCTCTATTACAAGCACATACCGGTAATCCGGTTACATCCCATAAGCCTTTCAAATTATTTGCTGAGTGAAAAACATGATGGAAATGGAAATAGAAAATATACAAATGTAGTGTAGAGATATTTATGAAGAGTGTATGATGATTTCCTATGAATGAAAAATTATGATTTTACAATACTTGCCATTTTCAATGACTACTTTTATCACCCGCTGGGATCCCTCCTTTGCTTTTAAAAAGAAATTCTGCAAAACTGGAGAAGCTGTGATAGAAATAATATATTATAGGCACAGACTATGGTCACAACCAGCTAGCCACTTACAGAACAGGACAAAGGGCAAAGGGGTTATCAGGCGGGAAAAGTTGCCAGGGAAACTTTTTTGGTCAATTTGATGGTGCTGATTCCAAAAATGCATGATATAATATCGATTATGAGTGCATTCATCTTCGATTTTTAGTTTAAATCCTTGTTTTAATCGGATTTCCAGCAAAGAAATGGCGTGAAATATTAAAACGGTGAAGTCTAGAATCCTATGATCGTTCGACACTTGAAAACAATTAATCATCATTCGATCACAAGAATATGTACAATTAAAATTCGAATATTTATAGAGGGAATTTCGATATACACATTTCCAATGATTGAATAATATTATAATATTGCAATTTGGTAAATAAATACTATTAAGGGATATCGTGATTTTCGGGTTCATTTCATTCCTGTGCCTTATTTCCGTTAAAACTGCAGTAAAACATGCAAGTACTGCATGGGGCAGGGGGTGGGCATGTGGGGTACATAAAACCACAAACACTTGAATCGATTTGAGTGCCTGTGGTGTAAACCATCCCAAAATTCCAAGGCTCGGTACTTACTTGTTATCCCTGTCTGATGAGACATTCAAACAGCACCAACTTAGCAAGTGTCTGTGACAAATATAGGTATAATCCGTTACCAGACTACAAGCACTTTCATGAAAAAAAAAAGCAACGTACGCCCTCAACGGCAAATAGTTCATTCACCGATCGTGGCGCACTATATGCCATCAAATCACTAGTTTCTTTTTTTACGGTAGTTCGTATCTCGTATGTATCGGTTGTATTGTCATGTACTTTTTTTTTTACTTTTTTTTATTGGCAACAACATGAAGGAAATGTACATTACTTATTCAAGTACAACTTACAAACAAACTCATTGGTTTTGTCAGGAACGTTTTTTGATCACTGCAAAATCACCTCCAGTGAAGTGAACAAAGACGCAATGTTGTCAAATTATGAAATAACATTGCTCTTTCGCAATAAATAATACCATATACAATATACAAATCCTGTGTAAACCCCTAGGTAAGGAGAACCTTTACTTAGCTTTATTTACTGTATTTCCATTATTTTTTGATTTATTTGTAGTTTATTATATAAATTTCACAATGCGAAAATATGGATTAAATTGATCTGGATTTGGTGCGACTATGACCAATATTACAGGCAGTTAATAAGAGTTGGCTGGTTCATGCTTTAAGCATCATGACCTACCAATAGACTCAGTCCATCACATAGACAACTCAGAATACTGAAAACTAACATAGTGGATGAAACGTTTTCCCTTGTTTGCATTTTCACACTTTTGTATCTACGTGCATTCCCAGGTTTGCCAACATTTTCTGTATTATTAAGCAAAGCTCCATCAGTACGAACATAATAATTAAAAATTGATTAAATACAAAAAAATTTACATGTTCAATATGATGTGTGGAGGTTGAAATTGATCAATGTACAAAAAATCTGGTTTCGAAATAGTGAAAATGTATGATTTTTGTGCATTTTAACTGCCATTTGGACATCATATGTCCGATATAATGTCTGATGATGCACATGTGAAGTTTAAACTTGATCGCATAGAGGAACTGAGGTCGAACCATAAGTCCCCATTCGAGCATGGACTAAAAAGTCAAACAAGTTTCAATAACACTTCCAGCTGTCAATCAATATAAGCGTGTCATTTATGATCAAATTTACTGTTGTTAATGATGACAGTTGAGTATTTAGAAAGAGTCAGTCATTTACACAAACTGCATAACAAGTTTTTTTCCATACAATCTTTGAAGAAGTCAGAATGGTCAATTTAATCATGGAGCTTAATAAATTTCCTCTGAATATTTTTTTGAAATAAGGATGGTCTAACGATGGTCTACAGTTAAACATTTAGTTACCCCGGTAAACTTTGACATAAAATGTTCCAGAAAAGATTCCCTCACCTTGAAGAACAATTAAGGTTGTATATCATTTAAACTATTTTACATCAAAACATTCAGATATTTACAAGATGCACAGGATGTAAGTTACAAAAAGAGTTTTTATTTGGGTCTAATTCACAAATCATTATTCTTTGTTCAGGAAGATTTCCTACAAAACCTTTTGATATGTAAATTCTTAAACAAGCATCTAAAACTGGAATAATCTAATTATAAATGCATATTCCAATAGGGTACATGATTTCAAACAATCCATTATGGCAGACTGATTACCAAAAGTTGCACTAACTAGTGTAAATTGTTTACATAAAATTAAAACGTCCGCTGTGTGATAACTGTGGCTCTTTAAAGTAGAAATATTGACTCAAATATTTGTTGTAATTCACCAAATCTAGCTTATTTAAATATGCAATATGGGTGAGAAAATGATATTTTTCATAGTGTTGTTTAATACTGCATGTTAATGACTAAATTGGATTGTAATTTATTGCAAAATAAAAATGGTGATTTTTTCAGCACGCCCAGCAGAACTCGTTGGATGAAAAAGTAAAACACTGCTACACATGTGCTGCGATTTTTATTGCATGTACTGAAACAATCAGTAGACATACAGATTTAAAAACATTTTACTTAGCTGTGTGCTGTTCATTTTTTCTTTTCTTTTTAATTGCATGATAAATCATGATCATATACATTGTGTATTAAACATTCATCAACTTAAAGTAAAAAAACATTAAAAATGTTCTCATCCATATTGCATTTTCAAAAAAACAGCAATAGAATACATGTACTGTACTGTGTACTGTAAATAGAAATCCAGTGATATGGTATTAATTTGACAAATCAGCATCAGATTACATTGTGTAGTAACTTCTTGCATAGTTTTACTGATTGGATTATGCTGTAAAGCATGTTATGTTATTTAACAGCATGTGCTGAAATTTACATGCACTGAAAAACTTCTATGAATGTCAACAATGATACATGCATTCTTTATAAGGAGTTCAAAGCTGAGAATGAAAAAAAAAATGACATGCATTATATTTCAATTCAAGTACATTCCTTTTGTTTACTAATAAATTTACAAAATGGTATATAGGTCATAGGTAAGTGGCATAATGCTGTATTCACAACTGTGGTTTTGCATATCACTGCACTGACATATGGATACAACTGTTCAATTTTCTACCACAGTAAAAGTCACGATTTATGTTTGTTTAGTTGATTCAGATGTACTGAAACGAAAACAAACAAGACTGTATATATGGTCATAAACAGATCTAAGGACATGATTTTAAAGCAAGAGAGTCGTCATTTGCACATACAGCGAGTCCCAAACAATGATAACACACGCTAAGAACGCAAAGACTCATGGGTAGACATTTGTTTGTAAACAATGACACGCTATGGCCACCTGACGCATGCGTAGGTGACGACTCCCTTGCTTTAAGTAAATGGTAATACCCAATAAACCAACTCCTATGATACAATTTTTTTAATTCATCCATCCAGATAAGTACCAACCCCCAATTTGTCTAAATTACACTATAATAAATATTTGATTACTACATTATTCAACTAACGTTTTCATCCACTGATTAGAAGATGTTTACATGTATACACATGTTATATTTTGTCAGCCACAAGCCAGGATAATGTAAAACATGAACTCAAGGTGTGTACAAAGATACAAGATGATGTAATTAGGACTGTCAACAATTTATAATTCCTGCACAGCTACAGTTGAATGCTGGGAATTTTGGTTCATGATAATGAAAGCTTCAAAGCGGGAGGGTTGTCACCCACGCACGTGTCGGAATTGAGTTCCAAGCGACGATAACACACGCTTAAAAACGCAAAGGCTCATGGGTAGACGCTTGTTTGTAAACAATGACACGCTATGGCCATATGACACATGCACAGGTGAAGATACCCTCGCTTCAAGGATGTTAAATAAATATACGGTTTTAAAATAAGTTATCTATTTGTGATTTACATCAGTTCTATTTGGTGAAATGCATTATATCCCACTCAGTGGTTTCAATTAACTTTGCTGATGTATTTGGTGAAATGCATTATATCCCACTCCATGGTTTCAATTAACTTTGCTGATGTATTTGAGAAATTACGGGTATTCTATACAGAGAGTGATTTCATTGAAATTCAAATACACATGGAATGTAATAACGTGTATGACAATTTCTTGTAGGATAATTGTTTCAAACAATACAATACTCAGACATCATGTGAGTGTCTTCACCCTACTGTATTAGGCGATAGAAACCTTAAATAAGAAGTATCTACAGTTACATTTCAACCATGTTCACAACATGGAAACTGCCATCGAGAGAAACAAATGATTTGAAATATGTATGAAACGCATAAAATCCTTAGTAGAATGAGAATATTATGAGATCATATTAATCACTCCTACACACCAATTAAAATCCTGGTATATATATTATATCTATTGTAAATCATCTCATGACACACTGGCACTAGTCAGAAGTGGTGAACTCTGGGAAGGGTTATGGCAGAAAAACTGTGCACTGAATTTTGTGCTAATTATTTGTTTCCATGGTGAATTTTCAATATTTTTCTCTAAGATTTAATCTGCAAAATTTGTTTTCTGTTATCAACCTCTGCAGGCTTTTTATCCTTTGCAGATAATCCTTTTTATAATCTTTCCATCCCCCTCAACCCTCCAGAGTTTTAACTGCCAACCAGTTAGTCATATCAATTAATCACCACCCACCCCATTATTTCATCTAAATGACATGATTAGCTTAGTTTCCCACATAAAAATATTTTTAGTTTAAATTAATTTAAAAACCATGCATATTATGACTGCAATTAAAGAATGGATGTCATTGCAGTGCACACATTTGTTATGACTGATGCAAGTTACATTGTTGTTTTACGCACCGATGAGTGCAACAATGTAATTATCTTCAAAATACCATGCTTGCACAGAACATCATATTAATATTTGCAAACAATAATTAGAATATTAAACACTACATACATAGTGACATTAAGGGAATGAAAATACTGTTTAAATACTGGAAGATAAAAATAAAGCTGACAATGAAATAATAATGAAATGTGTACAATGTACAACTGAATATCTGAGGAAGTAATTGTTTTGAATTATTGACAATCCTGAAATTTATTATGATAGCTCATTTATCAGCATGTCAAGACCACATGTATGCAAACTCTGAATTAAATATATGTAACACCCACCTCCCAGTCTGTATACCCATTTGTGTTAACATCATATTCATGCATGCTGTGTTGTCTTTACAGTACTTGTAATTGCTAAAGTATTGCTAATCACATGTTATGATGTCATATATGGCACCATGATCACATTTTACTACTGCACGGTTTTGTTATGAATTTTGACATGAAAAGATCTAATAATGAGTTGAAAACCAGCAAGTATGGGTTAAAGGTCAAAATAATAGAACTACATGGTAGTAACTAGGAGACAATAACAATCCAAATAAAAATACCTAAAATTATCTCATTTACTGCCAAATACAAATTCCAAGAAAAAAATGTTTTATTTCATGCAATATTGACAATTTCATAGTATTTTTCTATAAAAAGTAATAGTTTATGATCTAATATATTAAACACCCAATCAGTTTACCTTCATAACTAGTAAAATGTTACTACCCCAGGTATTGTAAAAAAAACAAAAAAAACATCCAAAGCTCATTCATAATCTACAGAAAAAACATGGCAAAGGAGCCTGGAAAGATAACAAGTACAAGTAAACCTTTTTAGATTTATTGAAAATATGATTATTGCTGTTTAGCTTTAAGTTTCAATACAGCAGTAAAGGTTTCATTACTCCCCATGTTTTATATTAAATTAATCCTTTGTTCCTACAAACTGATAAGTAAAAATAGTTTGTTCATAGCTTTTGATTCATTAAAATCTGCTTGCTATCGTAAATTTGGAAAAATGAAAAACTAAGAAAATCAGAATCAGCATTTTAGTTTGCGCCTTCTGTTGTTCCCTACAGAGACCTCTTTCCCAAGTTGTCTACAAGCTGACCAAACTTGATTTTGTCATTTTGACTTAGGATGTCTAAAAATCAGTCCTGTTTGAGGGCACACTGATAAACACTGAACATGCTAGGATAATTAAAAGCCTACAATCACGTTACAAGCAATTATCAGTAATACATAAAAAGGCTAACTGAAACCCCTACATTTAAATACCCTGCTGTTGGTTTGTTAGGTTGGTATTGGATAAGTACATGCGAAATATAATAATTTTGTTGCAAGTCAGTTATTTTCCCTTTGCCATCCTTCGCGGTCCCCTCCCACCTGGTCCTTTGGGCTTGGCAAATTTTGGTTTAACAATCGTCTTTTTCGGGTGCACTTCTTCATAGATAAATTCCTCTGTTAAGTCATTGGGATCATCAACTTCAATCTGCAAACATAACAATATAGGATTTTTATTAATAATGCATGTGAGACCGATATTAATTTACATCAGAAAAAACTACCAATGCATCAACTAAAATATTGACTTCAATGACTTCTATACAGTCACTGTGTATTAAGTACATTTGTGCAATAGCTACTGCTAAAACTGAAAAACACAATTACTGTAATACACACCCACCTTTTTGACAATCTCGGTACCAAGTCTTTGTTCAATAACTTCAGCAACAGAGCTTTTACAACTTGAATACAACATTCTTTCTTTTATTGGACAAGAATATCCTGGCATTGTATAAATGAATACTGTGGAGTGAAATGTAGAACCTCATAAAAACAAAAGAATCAACTTCACAGAATGTAGTGAAAGTGTTTACAAGAATATCCTGGCAATGTATAAATGAAGATTGTGGAGAGAAATGGAGAAACCCATAAAAACAAAAGAATCAACTTCACAGAATGTAGTGAAAGTGTTTACAAGAATATCCTGGCATTGTATAAATGAAGATTGTGGAGAGAAATGGAGAAACCCATAAAAACAAAAGAATCAACTTCACAGAATGTAGTGAAAGTGTTTACAAGAATATCCTGGCATTGTATAAATGAAGATTGTGGAGAGAAATGCAGAAACCCATAAAAACAAAAGAATCGACTTCACAGAATGTAGTGGAAAGTGTGAACATGAGTGGTCTGGCATTTCATAACTGAACACTGTGAAAGGAAATTTCTCAAAAACTTAACACACCCACTGCTGATCTAGTGGGCTATGTGTTACAAGAAAGTTCCTTGAATAGAAAAGTTGCACATAGCATGAATTTTCTACATACCTACTGACTCCATGTAGTCACCTTCATGTGTGTGTTTAAATAATAACACATGATATCTAGCATTTGTACTGGGTGTAAGTTGTGGTAAATCTGTGATATTAATAGTTTTACCAAGCTCTAATTGAATACATTCTTGCTGCATGTGTATACTCTGAAAACAAACAAAAAATTATGGGTCATTGTACACACTGTTACCGCTATTTCACAACGCCAAGACACATGCATTATGATTTTGTCATTAGCTCATAAATAATTCAATACATATCTCATATGACTGAACTATAATTTGAATATGTTAAATTTGCGTTTACAATGTTAGAGGTTGTACCTGCAGTGGCTGAACCTGAACCCTTGGTCAAATGTTTCAATACTTGAGAAAGAGATCAATCTTCTCATCACGTCTACAATTTACACCTTTAATTTTCCAAGTGCAGTAAATTTACAATCTTGAAAAAGAATAGCATTGTGTACATACCAACTGCAGATAGTTGATTCTTCCACCTCTGAATTCTTGTAAACTCTCCAATGCACCATCTGAAAATGGAAAAGCAACACCCCGCATTGTCTGATGTCTTGAGTCAACTGAAATATCAGCATCCACTTCATTGGCCTTTATCAGCTTCAGTTCTTCTTCTGCAAATGTTAAAGGTGGCGGTGCTTTCTGTGATTCCTTATGCTCTGAGTAACCTTTGAAAGATACATCATCCTGTAAAGTCAAAAACAATCACCATGATTTTATTTCTCTGAAAAAAAAATCAAAACTTTTTTAAATATCCGAATCTTTAGTGCAGACTTACTTCTGAGAGGAGCTGGGAAAAGTGTTACCACTATGAAACATTCCATTGACATGGCCTAGTCCCAACATGCAATAGCAAACAAAACTGAAACCAGTCGGCCATTTTGAATCAGAACTTGACATGAAGTACAGGAATAACGCATGTGACATTGTCTATAGTTTAATTTGATCTGGTTCCAAAATAGTGAAAATGGTGGTTCTAATGAATGACTTTAAATTAGACTTCATTCAGCCATTTAATTTTTGAATGGGATCATACAACAAATGTGCATACAATGTATGTGTGACATGATGTATGATACGTGTGTGAAGTTTGAACATGATCAACCAGGGCATGTCAAAGATATGGATCTGGAACATTACCCGGTAAACAAAATGGCCACCAGCCAGCCATAAGGCCAGACTTTTTTTATTCCTTGTTTCTCAAGCTTTTATAAGGCAATTTTTTTGAGGAGGGCGAAAAAAAAAAAAAATTAATTCTCTTTTTCCCAAAGAATTGTAAGTGAGATCATTGATCAGAGAGAAGAAATGAAATAAAATTTTATTCCATGTATAACCATGTTTCTCATCTGTGCGAGACTTCGGTACTTTGATCATGATACTCCCACAAAAATGCAATAATGTCCCGTTAACACACAATGTATGTGCTAAGTTTGAACGATATCCGTCCATGCATCACTTAAATCCGTTTATGAAAATGCTTGAATTTGATTAATTGTCAGCACTAAAATGACCGCAATTACACCAAAGATGTACGATTTAAATATGAAGTTGGAACATGATTAGTCCAGGCAAGTTGAAGATACAAGTGAGGTTACACAGACAGCCAGACCATGGTCAATCTGTAAATTCCTTTTCGTATACAATGTTGCAACTTTAAAATTTATTTTAAAAGGATAGACTTTTTGTTGCCAAATGGATATAGTCAATAATTAATTTACTGTATAAAATTAATCTTTGTGAAATGTCCTACATTTCACATAACTAACTAAATAAATTAATCAACGAATAAAATGACAATACATCAGCACCACAAATCTGCCAATTTGTATAAACCAATAGTATCCCACTAAATGCCAACAAATATTCATCTATTGGATGCACGTATCACAAATAATTTCACTTTCAAAACATGACTGCTTGGTGTAGATGTACCGGTACATAATCAGAAATATTCCCAGTTATTAATTGGTTTCTGGGATCTTCTACATTACCATTCAACAATAAGTATAAATTCAGAACTTACTGGTGATGTTCCAAATATATCTTCTTTGATATGAGCACCACCAAACTGTAGTTTTAAAGTAGCTTTGGTACTGGAGTACAACATTTTCTCTCTCACCTACATAAGAAAACAGCATTTTCAAGTATACATTTAGTTCTTGTATACCGATAATAAAAATCAAAACTGAAAGAGAGAACCATCCAAGATAATTGCAGCTTCATAAATACATATTATAGAAATCTGGATTACATTTTTATTGATAGGTTGTTGAAAATATTCACTGCAAATGTAAAGAAATGAACAATGGACGTAAAAGCTAAAGGTTTTAAAAATAAAAATGCAATACCATATCTGTTCATCTAGAACCATTTTCTAATATACATGTAAGTGCAAAAAAAAACAAAAAAAACTTGCATTTATTGTAAAATGGATCCTTTAAATTATTTTGACCATGGACACACTTCTGTCATGTATGTAAAATGCAAATTATAGCTAAACTTACCGGTGCATCGTCTGGTACATAAAGAATAAATATCCACTCATACCCGGATGCATTAGTCGTATCAAGTCGATAAAATATGTAACATGCTTGTTTGCTTTTCAACAACGGCAAAATAGCATTGTCATAATCTAGGTTAAAAGTTAGGGGAAATGCTGGCAAGTGCCTACCCTAGAAGTGACTATATGTATTGACTTGGTAGATAGTATAAAACAGAAATACAGTAACTTTCACTAAAATCCAGCATAGTGTACAAATCACATGACATCAAATTAAATATGCTTTATTTGCTGAGTATTTTGTACTAGCTAGGACAATAAAGTGTTTGACAGCTGCACAGAAAAACAGTGATTACATATTAACCAAATTATATAATTACTGGAAATTACATTGTCAGTCTTTTTGGGGGGAGAAATATTTGTAGAAATGAGTCTGAAGTCACCAACGACAAGTATAACAAGACTACTTGTACTGATTTGACAGATACCAGATAGCAATGACAAAATACCACGAGTGCTGTCACGAGTGTAACTATTTTCGAGATAGCAGTAATTAAATTGTGTACTTATTATAAAAGTATTGGTATATATACCACCTAATTCCAATGAAATATGATATGGATGAATATAGAACATTTAATTTAAAAACCTAAATCACAGCAAATCAAAGTATCTACACTTTTAAAGGGGAACCGCTCAATCCCATGGATTGCGCCAAAGAATCATGGGACACTATTGTTTATGTTGTTTACAATGTTAATCTATCTTTTGTTACCCATTGTAATTTTAATCCAGAAAGTAAATTTGTTGTGAGATTAGGCTTAACTGGAAGTGCCCCTTTATCCATCATGCAACACTGCTCCCTTTGTTGATTAATTCAGAACAATAAAAACACATAACAAACGGTCAAATACAACATATCCGTAAGATGTATTCTATTAAAAAATATACGAGTCACTCTTGTAAATTAAAAAAAAAAAATTACCACACTGCTCATATTTTGAACCCACCACAAACATTTGATGACAACATCAATTTTGTATAGATCTATCTGAATGCCTTTTCAGATTGCATTCCAACAACCGTACATAGTCATGCATGTGCATAAAAGGATACCCTTTTCCCAGGATCCACTTGATTTAGCTTTAGATGACAGTACTAGTTGCTCTGTTAGAATGAAAATAGTAAGAGTAAATGATGTCATATGTGCATGCTATTGGTCCAAAGTACATAAAGTTAATTAATTTTTTTCAAGAAAATTGAGTAATCAAATAGTAATACTGACATTGAGTAAGTAATGTAAGTGAAGTAAGTCAGTATTTCCAATACGTATGTCTGAGACTGATTATCAGTTAAATACCGATTCGAAAAATATCAAATAACACAAACTCTAATCCTGAAACATGGCTTCACCTGACCTGATATCGCAATTTTAGTTGAACCTGACTGAATAACTATCAAACACTTGATGAAGTGAGATTCACCACTGAGGGGAGGTTTTGATGAGATCATTTGCCACTGTTTTACAATACTTGCCATTTTCGATGACTACTTTTATCACCCGCTGTGATCCATCTTTAACCTTGGCAAAGAACTTCTGTAAATCCGGAGAGGCTGTAATGGAGACAGAGCAGTGAGTCAGTGGACCGAGATTGTAAAACTAATAGAGACCGAATCACTCGGGATCGATCGACGGAGAGTATATAATCATTTCAAAGAGATATATTTTCAAAACTAAAAAAGCTGCGTTATGTGTATAATTTCTTATGCTATCACCACTTACTTGTTATCCCTGTCTGGTGAGACATTTTCTCTCCAAAAGAGCCCACTTTTCAAAAGTTGTAGTATTAATGGGGAGGGTCTCACTTCCTTATCATACACCGGCTTGAAGAGGAAGTTGTCTCAACCGGAACTAAGAGGTCACGTGGACGTCCATTTGGTGTCGATCAATTTGATTGGATATTTCTATCTGCTTGTGTTTTCACAGATCCAATCAAATCCTCTATATCATAAGCCTAGCACGAAAGGTCATCCAACATGGCTGCGCCCATGTTATAGAAGGACGTTTCGAGCAATGGCTCTTTATCGATAGCATAGAAGCTATTTTTAATAGTTATTTAGGACTACGATTACCAAATATTATCTTCAATATATCATGCGCCCATGTTAGATTGTTACGACTGCAAATCGTTCAGCAATAACTAGGTAGTTGGTTGTGTAATTAGACATTCTTGAATTTAAATAGGAATGGCATCTATACGAACTGCACACAACATAAGCCAGCGACAAAGAACGAGTGATGTTCTGCTCAGTGAAAATATTGACTTTGCTGGTTTATTATTATCAGACGCAGTGCAACAAGGTTTATCGAATGCTGGTTTTGAAAAACCTTCTCCAATACAGCTAAAGGCAATCCCGCTTGGCAGATGTGGTTTAGGTGGGTGTATAGTGTGCACTACATACAGGAATTGACTCCATCGTGTCATGGAGGTAGAAAAGATGATCGTGCTCATCGAATTGTCTTCAATAACTGAGTGCACAGTCGCCTGGTGAGACAGCCACTGGGGTGTAACTTTAGGTAGCTGGGCGTTTCACAGCATATTTTCTTGTGTATGCAAAGTGTTGCAGGAAAAAAATGTTAGCACACTCTTTCAGCAATCCTATGATTTCCAATGGTTAACCCTTTTTCTGATTTTTCATGCTTTTACGTAAAGGGCGGCTCCGCAATCCCAGGGATTGCACCAATGCATCATGGGAAATATAATTTGCATTGTCCGACTATTTGTTTACTTGGTACACAGCTGTTATCATTTCAACCGAAGGTGGTAATTTCGTAAGCTAACATCATGCATTTGATGCTATTTGAAAGGACATATTGAATCGTGTTGTTTATTGCTCACGGGCCCACGCAAGCTTTTGAAAGCCATTTTCTTACTTGTAACGTGGAGCTCCTTATTTAGTTCCATGCTTGCACGAAACAGCACATAAATAATTGTCATTTTTTTGAATGACCTACACAATGTAGTTATCGCATAGTACATTTGCCATAATGTGTCTTGTCGGCTAGGCAATAATCACATTATGCAATGTAAAAAAAAAGGCACAAACAAATAAAAAAAACAAAAAAACTTACCCAGTTGCCTGATGCCCAATACTCACGAATATACAGGAAAGTGATCATGAAACCAAACTTTTTGGAAAACTATGAAATCAGAAACTGAAATCACAAATCATCATTCAAATCAATTTGGCATTATAACTGACCTATTATGCAAGCCTACACATTCAGTGTAAATAATGACACAATTTTAACACTAGCAACAACATTTTTCCTGGGTGCTTCGATGAGATTAGTGCTAAGATTATGTAGCAGGCCAAGAATAGTACACAGGACAATTAATATTACGAACAGTAATAAATATGATTGGAAGAACAGAGAGTAATAGACAGCTACACAATTGATAATAGAACAAATGTAATAAATTAATATCAACCTCTGGTTTATAAGGTAAATGTCATTTAAAAGTTTATTCTAATTTGTGGAACACAAGTTATCTCTCCTTAGGACAAAATAAATCACATTCAAAATTGCTACTCTTTCATCCTAACAACCTTTTAGGGTAAACACTGTAAGAGAAAAAAAATTTTCTCAAGAAAAAACTGTAAATTTTTAAATACTAACCCTGGAAGATGTAGCACTGACTTGTAATATAGCTTGTGTTTTACTGGATTTTGGAAATAAGGGTTAGGACTCCAATTTTTGTCGTACACTTTCAATTTGCATTCCATAGTAGAAAAGTAATTGTAATATTCGTCTGACAGAAGACATTGTTATTTCATTATATATTTAAACCTTGTTGATGAAAAATGACTGTTTTGATAATTTTAAACAGATAATGTTTGTTACTTTATATTAGTGGAATTTAAAACACCCTATCCATTTGTTTTATGTGATGCACATTAGAAACATTTGTGCCCTGGTACACATACATGTACATTTGTAACTACGTAAAGTGCTTATGTAAATTGACTCAATAAAAAATGTTTTAAATACAAAAAAAAACATTTGTGCCTCAAGCTTAACACTCAAGAAAACAAACGTTGAGTACCGTAGTCAAAGCAGAGCTAACGCAAACAAATTTTCAAGTTGATAATATACTCATAACAAGAAATTCCAGATTAAGAAATTCAGGCTCAAAAAGGCTTAAAATCAGTGAGAAGGCAGCTAAACACTTAGTAACTCTGAGGCCGCTCGATAAACAAGTCATGCTATGTCAGTGCCATCAGTGTAGCACTAATATTTTTTATTTGAAATTATGATTTCAATCAATTTTTTGTTCTAGTCAAAACAAAAAATGAAAAAGTGTTTTTATGAAAAAAAAATGTGACACCTGCAAAAACACCAAACTTAATGTTTTGATTTTGAAACACGAAGGTCATTGTAAATTACATGATATGTTAATCCATTTGTTGATTTTTTATCTAAAGCCTATAACCTACTTTGTTGCATTTGAAACTCGCATATTAGTTCACTTTAAATTATGATTTTTGCCTTAGATTCTAAAAAAACACAAAAGAAATGTATTGCAGGAAATTACCACATCACTTCCGCTTGTACCGGGGGTATATAAAAACATGATTTTGTGCTGCTGGTAGCGCTACTCAAATCTTCATGCCAAATAACGGTCAAAACTTTCTGCTGTGCTCCGGCTGATTTTTTCAATAGTTGAGCTGGTAATTTTACTGTAATATCATATCTGCTTATGTAAATAATATATGTAAATAATAAAGGATGAAGCATACATTAAATTTTTGGGTAATATGGGCTTCTCATTCAGCAAATATGATATACCACTTCATCATCCTTGGCCGACTGAGAGATCTGTCACAGCACTTGAATATAAACAATGAACTCTCAACAAACAGAGATAGAACCTTGTGTAAATTAGGCACTAGATTGAACCAATCTATTTAAATTTACACTGCTGACTTCATGACAAACCAAATGCATTATGATATTTATTTTGTATTTCATTGTTTAAAATATTATTTTATTTACTTCTAAATAGATTTAATTGTGCAAGCTAAGTCTGGTACTGGCAAGACATGTGTATTTAGTGTTATATCCTTGGAGTCTCTACATCTGGATTCCAGTAGCACTCAAGTTCTTGTGTTGGCACCAACTAGAGAGATTGCTGTGCAAATCCAAGATGTCATCCTGTCTATTGGTAGTGCCATATCACAGCTCAGATGTCATGTCTTTATAGGAGGTCTCCCACTAGCTCAGGATAAGATTAAATTACATAAATGTCACATTGCTGTAGGAACACCAGGTAAAGGACAACTTCAAAAAAATGGTGTACATTCGTAGAATGAAAAACTCAATTCCTTTTGTTCACCCACCTAAAAACTGTGTTGATCATCTGCATAAATTTACCACATTTACAGGAATGATGCAAAACAATGTATGTTTGTTTTATTTTAATAAACAGATATCATGATTGGTTTATCATCTAATCAGTGTGTTCTTGTCAAGTATTAATTAAACAATGTTTCTTGATGTATAGGAGCTGTATAAATGTGCATAGCATAAACATCCAAACATATTATTCATGTTACTGTAATACCACAAACGTAGTTTTCGCTCATTATTGCATGAATTGACTAAAAGATTTGTGCCTCTTTAATTCCAACTTAATTTATAGATTGATTACTTGTTTCTACAGGTCGTATCAAGCAATTGATAGAGGAAGATTTGTTACATGCAAATACCATCAGACTTTTTATTTTAGATGAAGCAGATAAATTGCTGGAGGAGAACTTCCAAGAACAGATAAAGTGAGTAAAATGGATAGATCAGCCAGTTTTCTGTCTTTCTATCATGAATTTGCCAAATATAGATAGAAATTAAAGCATAATTTAGTAAACAAAAACATTGGGTCAACATAAAAAATATATATTTTTCTGGTCACATGACATATTTTTTTCATGTTTTTTTGTCAGAAAAAAATGTCTTGCATTGAAATACCCTGGTAAAAAAATGTGTGTATCCCGGTACATTAGTTTTGGAAAACAGATTGACCCAGTAACTTTCTGTTTTCTTGGACTCACATAGAAGTTAATAATATCTTTATGAACTATGCAAGCTGTAAGTATTGATTTTGGGTTTGGCAATGCTGCCCTCATTGGCCGTAAAGAGAGATATATTATTGAATTTCAGTGCCGTATGTTTTGCCTCTTGAATGTTATAACCTATACATCCTTTTGTTAACTTCATTTAGACTAAGTGTAATAATAGAAATATAAAACGATTATGTTAAACTAATTTTTTCATGGGTAGGATAAGAAATTTGTTGACTTACTGATTGTCCCCCAAAATCAGTATTTTAACATTTATTTGGTGGCCACCATGGATTGATTGTGAACTAAAAGAGTATCAAATAAATATGAATATACAAATCAAAGTTAGATACAACATTTGGTTTGTTTGCCACCATGGATTGAATGCAAACTAAAAGAGTATCATTTACATACAAATGAAATGCTTTACATAAATATGAATATACAAATCAAAGTTGGATACAACATTGTGAAACATAGAAACCTGTAATGTTATTTACAGCTTCAATGTTTCATTTACAGTTGGATTTATTCATCGCTACCTGAAAACAAGCAGATGCTAGCCTTGTCAGCCACATATCCTGAGTACTTGGCTCAACAGCTTACTTCCTATATGAGAGATCCTGTCTTTGTGAGACTCAACCCAAAGGATCTTGCCTTGCAAGGTAAATTGAAAAATCATAAATTGCTGAAATTTTAGAAACTTGTATTCACTTGTTTTGTATTTTATGTTTGTTCATGTTTGCTATGAACATATTTAGATGTTCTAGTAACTCAACTGTAAAGTGTTTGGAGATACATCTGATTTGATTATTAATCTCTTGTTTCTGCAGGTCTTGTACAATATTATGAGCTGGTACCACACCATGCTCTTCCTCATAAACAGTTTGAGGTCAAAGTTCAGCATTTATTAAAACTCTTTAGTCAAGTATCATTCAATCAATGTCTAGTATTTTCCAACTATCAGACTAGGTATGTGAAATACTTCTTTTATGATTAGTGTTTACTTCTATCTATCCTGACAAAGTCAATTTCTCTGATATTTCTTTATCAATTTTACTCCAATGATTACTTCACTGATACATCTTATATTTGGTGATTTGCTTCAGTCCTAAAAATGTAATTTATTCATGACCATTATATTTCTGATTTAATTTTGTGTACTGTGGATTATATTTATGTAAACTGTTTCAATTTTGTGAACTCCGTGAATCAGTGAAACTTTGTAGCAGTGAACACCTTTCTGAGGTCCTACAATGGATTACAGTCTAAGTGGCGTTCATGAATGCTGCAGAATCATAAAATCACAGTTCACAGTAGTTTATTGGTCTTTGGTGTCTTAATTGCTACCTGGTCAAACAATCAACCCTGATACCGTCTTCTGATTAGATTTTGACTGAAGTGAATTTCAATTAGGTGAATAACATGATGTTACATGTATGAATTTAAACAGTGAATATATTGCCAAGTGATATGAACAATCCTTCATTTCAGAGCTCAGAATCTTTCTGATCAGCTATGCCATAAAGGATGGCCAAGTACTTACATTTCTGGTAGCCAGGATCAAACTCAAAGACTCCAAGCTATGTCTATGCTCAAAAACTTTAAGTGTAGAGTTCTTATCTCCACAGATCTGGTAAGGGAGCATTATATGGATTCCATATATATTTTATTGTTTTCTTACTGGAAATTTGTATGTACGATGACTGTAGTTCAGTGACAGTTGTGCTTAATATACTACTCAAATACTACTCCATCCGTCAGTTCATCATGACCTATATCTCAGAAATGCCTGAACCATCTACACTTTGTAAACACATTATTCACTTTGAAACATGTATATACATTAAAGAAATCTAGGTTTCAGAAATGTAACAATACTAAGTTTTGAAGAGCGTGATTTCAACCTTCATGTGTGCATTTGTATAATCATATCAGTTTATACTACTTTACTTTAGAAACTGTGTAATTCTAATTATATGGAAGATTCACATTTAACCATTTTCATAAAAAATTTTGGTAACTTTATTATTCACATAATGGGACACATGTGGAAAGCCATATTACTTTTGAAAGCCATATTAGAATTACAACTTTTATGGGGCTGTTCATATAATGACTTGTTTTACTATTGCTGTGTTTTCAGACTGCTAGAGGCATTGATGCGGAAAAGGTTAATCTTGTCATCAACCTGGATGTACCATTTGATTCTAAGACATACTTACACCGTATTGGTAGAGCTGGTAGATTTGGAACTCAAGGTATAGCAGTCACTTATGCAGCACATGGCACAGAAGAACAACATTTAAGGGCGATTGAGAAAGAATGTTTCATATCCATGAAACCATTGCCAGGTATTGTTTTAAACAAACTAATTGCCAAGTTTAACCTTTTCACCACCAGTTCCCTCTTTTCATGACAAATTCACAAAATAGTCCTGTCTATAGTCTGCACTTTACGTCAGAAGATTTGGACCAAAATGGCCAAATTGTTTTAGTAAAAACTCCAAAATTAGGGTTCATTTCCAGAAATATTGAAGAATATAAGAAAAAAGTGCTGAAAAATTTAGGCGAGAAAGTCTGGTGGAGAAAAAGTTAAAGAGTTAGCTGTTATTTAAGTTGTATTAATTTGAAGTTATTGATATCCGGTATTTGGTAGCAAATAAAACTTTTCAGGAGAAAATTACAAAAGTAATCGCAAATCATAGTTATGAATTAACACGCTTCGATGAAAATTTTCACAATGATTTTTGGGCAATAACAGTTAGTATATCTGTGTATTTGTTCCAAGATTTCCGTGATTGCTATAACAGTGCTTATAGTTTTGGTATAATTATATTTCTAGCTTCATTGCTACACATCTAAATGTTTGGTATATATCAATCAACTTTTTTACGTGATAATAAAGGAATTTGATTTTTTTTCCTTGTAGACATTATCAGCAGTAATTTGATTCAACAGGAGCATGGTAATTTCACACAGTCTCAATCAGTGCCTCAATCTACACCACAGATCAATGGCAATTTACAAGAATTTACTCTGAGTGGGCAGACATCGAGTAAAACTGATGCTAACAATGCTTCTGTTATAACAAAGAGTTTAGATGTCAAAGAAAACATGATGAACAAAAAGGAACACTGTAACTCGATCAGAAAGGCCACATCAGTTGCAAAAAAAGATGATGATAATAAGTCTGTATGTGGTTCTAAATCTCATAAATGCTGCTGGATTGGCCAAAGAAATGTATCTGATAACTTAGTTACAACAGCTGAATTTAGTTGTCAGACAGAGCGTATCAGAGATTATGACTACTTAGGTATCGGCAAAATACAACCAGTGTCCATGTGCAGAGTAAATAAAGTTCCAAAAATGAAGATCACTTATGAAAATGCACTAAAGGACTTTGAGGATTTCTTAGTGACTGATGACACAAATGTAGAAAGTTGGATGAGATTTTATGTAGATGATGATTGTAAAGACCAATTTGAAGCATTGCCGTTGGAAAAAAAGGATCCCAAGTGTAGTACTGATATAAATGCTGATATACAGGATGCTGCCATCATAGAACAAGGTGTGGACATTGCCTTAGACTCTTTTGATGGGCATACAAATGTAGCTGATACTGTGATTGTAAAACCAATATGTGATTCTAACAATGCTTTGTTAGATGAGGAAATAATTTTCAAACAGACTAACAATGAAACATTACAGTATTATCTCGAAGATCCTGCACAACATGGAAGTGTTCAATCAAAGGATGTGGTGAGTGAGGAATCACTTCATCGAGATGATGAGATGCATGTTGAACTGTCATTTAGGGACTTGAAAATAAGTGAAGAATGCTCAACACTCAATTCTGAAAGTTTAAAAGCAGAGGATGAGGAAGATGAAACCTCAGTTGTAAGTGAAGTTAGTGAAAGTGATGAGACACAGACAGAGACGGAAGATGAGGATGATATTGAAGAGGAAGACACTAGTGATGATGATGATGAAGAAGAATATGATGATGAGGAAGAGGAGGAGGAGGAAGAAGAAGAAGAATCCTATAAACTAAACTCCCATCCACATGCCTCACCTCAAGTGTGGGAAGATGCTAACTATAGGGGGTATAACAATCATACTAAGTGTGCAAGTCACGAAATGTATCCATACTATGCAAATTATCCTGCCAATGATTATCACCCAAGCTCACAAAACGCGGGACTGTATTCAAATGATAGAGCACAACATTTGTATAACCAAGCTTCTTACATGCATCATTATGGTACCCCACCGCCTCTGCCGCCGCCGCCACCACCTCCTCCACAGTGGAATCATGTTATAAATTCAGCTGACTGGTACAATGAGTATTGGTATCAGACATGGCTGTATTGGTACAACTATCCAAGGCAATAAGGTTTTCCCCTCAGTGTGGCTGTTAGTTTTGACACAAATACTAATAAGAAAAGTCGCACTACATATTTCTTGGTATAAAAATATGTAAAGTTTCTATAATATATCCAGTATGAATAAGTTAATTTATGTATCAGTATTCTGATTAAAATATGGATTACAGATGGTTTAAATAAAAATGAATTTATGCTTATGTATCTTTGTTAACCAGTGTGAACTCCTGACCAAGTTAGATTTTGGTGTATATTTTTCATAATATTGGTGAAAATGTGGTTTTATAATGGTTTCCTATGGTTACTTTAACTCTAGTAATTTGTATCCAATTGGTTTTCAATCTTGGATATTTGTTCATCTGTATGGCATCTAGATCAACAACATACATTTTGGGATACCTTGCATATATACACAAGATACAAACGAAAATATAAATTCATGTACTACTATATAGACCCAGATATTTTGACCGATTTACCGATAGTTCAAATTTCACACATACACGTGACGTCATATCAAGCATGCACACATGCTGTCTGTCTGTATGTATGTATGTATGTTTGTCACATTTTTTTGTTCCAGAGTTATCTCAAGAACCACTAATGGAACTTTGTACATAGATGCTCTGAACTAATGCGCAGATTTTAACAGTTTTGGGTGAAAATCCATGCATATTAATTAGCTAATTTGCTTAATGATTTTTGGCTTTTCCTCTGATATCTCAAGTACTAATCATCACATTTCAATGACACTTGGGACATAGATGCTGGAGGCCTATGCAGAGACCTGATTAGTTTTGGGGTAAATTATTGTGCATATTAATTATCTAATTTGCATATCTAACCACTTTTCAACTTTCACACTTATATCTCAAGTACTATCATCATATTTCAATAACATTTGCTCTAACAAATGCTCTAAGACAATTGACAGACCTGATTAATTTGGGGTTAAAATCGCTACATATTAATTACCTTATTTGCATAATTAAATCAATTTTAATTTTTCACACTGATGTCTACAGTATTAATTATTCCATTTCAATGAAACTTGGTATGTAGATGCTCTAGAACAATGTGCAAACCTGATTAGTGTTGGGTAAAAATCTGTTCATATTATTTCAGTAATTAGCATAATAATTTATAATTTTTCACATTTCAATGGTACATAGCTGGTCTGTTACATTGCGCAGACCTTATTAGTTTTACACTCAAGTCTGTTCATATTACCTGATTTACATAATTAATTTTTTCATCAATATCTCAATTTTTAATGTGTCTCCAATACTCTCAGCACAGGAGAGTTCTTTCTAAGCTTTCTTTGATTCATACCTGTTTCTAAATAACCTTAACTGACTCCACTTTGTATCCTGTCTGTAATGCGAGTATTATGTACGGACTATTAAATGAAGGAATCTCACAACTGACTCCGGTTTTTATCATCCTTGTCATACATGTGTCTATCAGAATAAATGCTGCAAGAACGAAAGAAATCTCCTCCAGTTGAAAACAAAGCATACTAAATCTGTAAATAATCAATGAATGTTTAAAGCAAGTCACCATGGATCATATTAGGCTTGGAAACTCATAATTTTTGAGAAAGTTTGTCATAATCGCATGAGAATGTTCATAGGTTTATTGTGTACAATCATGAAGCTATTGTCCCACGACAATAAGATGGATTTTTTTGTTTGTTTTGCAGTCATTTATAATATTGCCAAAATGACAACTTTCAACTTAAAATGCTACAAAGATTTTTTTTTTAAATTATGCCGGTGCCCCTATGCAAGAAACAAAATGGCCACTGAGTCAATAATGCCAAAAAAAAACAACTTTACATGCATCAGGCACTCAGCATATAAAACCATCAAACCTGCTTAAGTGTTTCTGAAAAAAGTTCAAAATAACAAAAAATGGCCGACAGTTAGACATCATTGATAAGATCACAAAATTGATGCATGTGCTTGTTCCAGATAAGGTACAAGTTAGCTGAACTTTGAGGGATCCTTGAGATGCAGGGATCTCTGAGTTACGCAAGTACCCAGTTTCATGTAATAGTAATTGTGATAATATTGCTACACATGGATCATGTGTACATGCACTATCATCCCTGACATGCAAAACGTCTGGAGGTTAAAGCGCGGTGGTCGTCGCGCAGCGCGTGTTTGAATTTCATGTAAATAAACAATGTATTTTACACGCGTTGTATACGTCGCTATGAGTCCCATATCGAACAGGACGCGGCACGACGACTGTCGCCCTTTAATAGCTCATATAACCTGACAAAAACATATTCCAAAAAAAATGTTTATAATCGAGTCAACACTCGTCATTTTACACAGTAATTTTCAATATGTCCAAGATAGTCCCTATACCGGGGTAATAGTCTCCCATAATATAACCAAGAACTTTAAATAATTATTCAAAACCTTACATCGGAGCTCCTTCCCTGACATGCAAGGATATTACAATGTAATTTATACCTATGTAGCAAGTTTCAATGAAATTTATGCAAATTAAGTAATTATTCTAATTTGACCCATGATCGTGGCGTCACACTATTGTATTGAGCAGCCATTATTTGGGAGAATTATCTCCAGACCAAAACAGAGGGAATTCTAGAAATCCCTCCAATACTCGCGGTATTGTCTACTTGACTTAACATCTATCTGTCTTTGATCTGAAATTTAAATTGCAACTTCTTCCTCAATTTAAAAAAAAAAGACTTTTCTTTTTCTAGTGACAAAACCCCAGACACAAACTTATCTCCTTTGAATATCTACGCCATGGATAATCCCACTCTACTGACTGAGCTAGGCCTTTGATCACCCATGCATGTATCAATCAGGATCTTTTTCTGCTCATCACTCCTTTGTCTACACAATAAAAAGTTACGTAACACACTTATGCAGCAATATTCAGACAGACAATATGTAAATTTAAACAGCATCTGATACTGAAATGGATCAGTGATTTCTAGTAATCCCTCTCATTGTGCTATTTCAAGAGAGCTGAGAAATCAAATTTTATTGAAATCATGCTTGAGGTATCTGTGGTATCCTAAAACACTTGTGTACACATTTTTATTGAAATCTCTTAAATGGTTTTAAATGAAACTGTTGAAAATGTGCTACTGGGTAATTGTATGCAATTTATACAAGTGCAGATTTCAATCCAAAACTGGCCAACATTTCAGAGCATCTGTGTACCAAGATTCATTGAAAAATGATGATATTGACAAGCTAACCCTAAAGAGGCTAGCTCAGTATACTTCACATGTAAATGAAAGATGCTGGACTGACCATGACAGACAATCTTCCTAGGCTTTACTAGAAGATCCACATTAGCATACAGCAGAGCTAAAAATAGTCACAAACCATTTGGCTTTGTCATGTTTCTAAAAATGCCATAAAAAATGCCGAGTGGTTATGACATACAATCTGAATATTTCATACAACTCAGCAACCAGTCTTAATCTGGCATCGAAGGGGATTGAGAATTCCATGTAATTACAAACAAGACACACTCCATCCCATTAGTGGAACAGCTAATTTACACAGATTATATACACTAAAACTGTTAACTTCAGTTTTGGCACAATTGACATAAACA